GTCAGATATGACGCGAGCGCACCTAGCTTGTCCCCCCCTCCTCCTCCTCCTCCTCCTTCTCCTCCTCCCTCCTCCTCCTCCTCCTCCTCCTTCTCCTTATCTTCCTCCTCCTCCTTTTTCTCCTCTCCTCCTCTCCTCCTCCTCCTCATTCTCCTCCTCCTCCTCCTTATCCTTCCCCTCGCCCCCACCCTTCCCCGCCTCCCCTCGTTCCCTCCTACCCCGCCCGACGCTCCCCCCCCGCCGAAGACGAGGTCTGCCGACTGCACGTAAGGTGACCCCTTCGCCGGAGCATCCTGTGGTGCGGGCCCACTTGGGTCGCCCGATCGCCGGACGCGATGCGGTAGAGTGTAGAGTCTTGCACGCGTGGGTCCCCCCTCAAGCCGCGCACCAGAGGTCACCCCTGCCTAGGGTCACTCTGCATTGTGGCCGTTTTTTCAATGCCATCCAAATCGGATGGAAGCAGATGTGGTCGGATGAGCCAGCCGCATCGCCGATGCATCGGCGATGCGGCTGTGTGCGGGGCTCAGGTTTTTCCGCGCCTACGTCGCCGATGCATTGGCGATATGCGGCGCGATCCTCTGACCCCATCTACTCGGATCCCTTCTGGGAGGCCATTGTTTTCGTGGGCGACAAGCATATCCGTACCCGCGGCCTCGCAGGCCAGGCCCCTGGGCCGCGACCCCGCGGATGCGGGGCGTTTTTTTTTCTCGCATGCTATTCTCGCGGAACGTAGCCGTGAGACCGCGTGTCCGCGGGATCGCGCTCTGGAATCCCGACCGCGAGGGCACGGACACATATACGTTCGCCGCTTGGGCTGCAACTCCTGAGAGATGAAGATTCAGTTCAGAGTCGACGCTCGTACATCCCTGACCGAAACTTGGCATAATCTGACCGTCTCATATTAAATCTGGCCCAATCCCGCTTTACCTGGCTTACTCCCGCTCAATCTTGCTGAATCTCGAGCTCAGTTCGGCCTAGTCTGGCCCAGTGGCCCATCAGTCGGGCCTGATAGCCCTTTCTCGGTCTGACGAAGACTTCCTGGGAGTCGCCTCCGTACTGACGGGTACTGAAAATCTGGCGAAAGTTGAGTGGCGCAGACAAACGGCGGCCAGCGAAGAGGGGAAGTCAGAAGGGGAAGGCCTTCTCAGAAGGTTCGGAAGCCCCGTGGCCTTCTGAGAAGTTTTCTAAGCTTTCTCCGAACACAAAACAACTTCTCTGAAGGCGCGATGGCTTCTGAGAAGTCCCGTTGCCTTCTGAGGAGGACTTCTCCTTCTCACGTCCCCCCCTAGCTCGCCGCCGAGAAAAAACTTGGTCGTTTGCGCGGACATTGTCGCCTAAGTTGCCGTCGTGAGGCCGCTCGTGCGCGCGCTCTCGTTTCCATTATGGCGTGCCGCGCCAGCGGCCCGCGTACGCCACCGCGTAAGGTTGCTACGGCATGTTGCGCTTGGGTTCGCCTTGAATCTACCCAGGGCGTTGTTGTTAGCGTTTTCAGCCTAAAAGCGCCCCAGGCACGCAAAGCAAACAACGCCAACAAAACAGCCCCAACAAACATTAACAACAACAATTCTCTGTAGCGTTTTCAGCCCGTCACGAGCCTACATTCGAAAACGCTAACACAACGCCCAGGGCGCTCGTAAGGCGAACCAAGATGTTGCATAATGCCCGTCCCTTTTCGTCGCCCAGTTCCCACTTTTCCATACCCCCTCGTATCGTGAAAAAGTCACGACGGTTACTTCGTTCGTTGCTATTTTCGGCCTCTGGGAGCCTTCGCTGGGCCAGGGCAAAACTCGACTCAGGATGAATGCGTGTCCCGCGGAATGGGTCGAACCCTCCAGGGGCCCGCGTTGCGAAACAAAACGTGACGTCGGGGCTCTGGGCTTAGAGCTTCTTCCAGGCACTGCAGCATGGCCCTTCGGTTTCAAATCATTGGAGCCTTGTGTAATTACCCTCATACTTCCGTTTAGCATGCACTAGCTTCGACCAGCGTCTGGTAAGCGCCAATTTTGCGCCAAGTTAGCGTCGATGAGCGTCGTTTTAGCGTCCACTAGCGTCGATTTAGCGTCGAGCTAGCGTTGATTTAGCGTCGATTCGCGTCGATTCGCAAGAGCTTACTACATGGTATGGCAGGCTCCCATGAGTTGCCACGAAACTTGCCCGAATCGGGACGATTTGGCATCGCCAGGTTGCTGGCCGACGTGCCCTTCAGCCACACACTCGTCTCGGGGACCCTCCTGCGGCCCACCCGACGGATGTGTTCGACCCCAGCTCGACCCAGGCCAGACTCGAGCTCCGAGACTCGAGCTCAACTGAAAGCGACGGACGTCTTGCGCGGCACCGCCGCGTGGGAGGAGCGAGCAGTTCCGGGAGGGTCCCCCGAACGAGCCTCTCACGCGGGCAGGGTGTGCAGCCACATACACCGATCCTGGGCCCAGGGTGATCCTGGGCCAGGATCGGTGTTGGTGTATAGTTGGTGCCTTCCTAGGAGGTGCAGCCACATATCCGCCGGCTCCTGGACTCTCGGGCGCCCTGCCCCCGGACGCCCGAGGCGCAGTGGATTGGATTGGTGGGGAGAGAGCCCGAACCCGGCCTCTGCACGGCTCGATGCTCGCCCACGGCCACAGGGCCTCTCTGCCTTTGGCCCCCCCTCTCTCCCAGAGAGCCCAAGACGCTCTGGATGTGAGGAGGCGTATACCCAGACCTCCTCGTGTCATGAAAAAATCACGACGGGAGGTTTTTCGCTGTTTTCGGCCTCTGGGGGCCCTCACCGGGCCTCGGGAGCGTCAAAAAACGACTCGGGATGAAAAACCGGTCCCGGGGAATGGGTCTGGACCTCTGGGGGTCGCGTCATGAAAAAATCATGACGTCGGGGGTCTGGGTATATCGGAGGGGGGAGAAGCGACACCAAGACCACCAGAGGGGGCCGCCTCCAGCGAGAGGGTCCACGAGGCCTCCCCGAGCTGGAGGGTGGGGATGCCTGCCTCGAGCGAGAGGGGGGGGCCACACCACCAGGAAGACCCCCCGCCTGCTCCTCGCATCTCCTTGCTATGGTGGTGCTGGTGCCGCCTTGCCTCGTTCCCACCAATCTTCTTTTCCCCCTCCTTCGGCCGCCGCCCTGTCTCCCTCCATGCTCCTGCACTGTGGCCCCACTCGCTTCGACGGCATCCCCGTTTCCATGGCTCTCTGGCCAGCGCAGCTCCTCTGGCTGGCCCTCCGGCGCAGAAACGCTCCCGCAGATCCTGCCCGCGCAGAGCGAGCCTCCGTGGAGCACCCGCGCGGGGGCCGCCCCCCCCCCCCCCCCCCGAGGGGCCGCCGAGCGAGGGCGGCGTCCCGCGCGCCGCCGCGGGCGAGCCGGCGCGGGCCAAGGGCAGGCGCCGCGGGGGGGCAGCCGGGGGGCCGGGCTCGGGGCGTGGGCCGCGGCCGGGCGGGTCCGGTCTCGTGGTCGTCGGGAGGGGACAGGACACAGACCCAGTGGATCGTCGATTGCCGGGAAGGTATGCGAACTTACGGGAAGAGGGGGGGAATACGGAGGTCCCCAAAATAGTCTGGGTAGTCGAAGGCCAGGCTGTCAGATTGGATTGGGCCCCAGGGGCCCATCTGGCCTGGCCAAGTTGGAGGATTGGGGTTATTCGCCAGACTGGATTCGCGTTGGCTCCCTTGTCAGATTGCCCCCGTTTGCCAGATTGGGCCTGCCAGATGCGCCAGATTGGCTTCGACTACCCAGATAGTGGAAAGATGGGGAATCCTTTATTTGTGTCCATGTATGGTGTGTCCCTGGGCCCCTTCAGGTCGGAGGCCCAGGCGCCGATTCCAGAAGGCCGCGCGGACTGTGGAGAAGCCAAGTTTTTTGCCCCCCGCGGGGCCTGAGATCTCCGGGCCCCGCGCAGGCAGCAACCAGCGCGGGGTCGTCTTCGCCGACGCTGGCAGCGCAGGCTGCCCGCGCAGGCTCGCGCGTGGGCGCCCTCTGTCTGCAGCTCGGCGTGCCGCGCTGGCGGCCCCCCGCTTGGGCCACGGGCCGTGGAGGTCGCCATGCCATCCCGCGCCAGGCCCCTTGCTTGATCGCCGCGGGGGCAGCAGTCGAAGGCATGACGGCAGAAACATACCGTCTCGACAGTCCGCGCGAGTTTTCTGGGGGTCGGCGCCTGGGCCCCCTTGGCGGCGCCTCCGGCGCCGCTCCTGGCGCGCCGGAGGCGCGCCAGGGAGGGGGGCCCAGCGCGGAGCCAAGCAATCCGCGCGGACCTCCAAGCGTGTATGTTCGTGCCGTTTTTTCTTCCAGCAGGGGGCCCACCTCGAACGGCCCGGTTCGACGTGTCGATCTCGGCCAGGTTGGCCGGCTGCGGTCTGGTTGTCGGGGGCAAGGAGATCAAACGTATTGAAAAAGTCAAGGCAGAGGTTCTGCGCCGTGATCGGCTCTCGCGGGGCCCTGGGACCATCAAAAGCCCCATATGGACAAAAACACAACATCAGATTTCTGGGTGCGGCCCGCTATTTTGGCGGAGCGCTGCGGTGCGTCCTGGTGTGGCTCATCCGATTCGAGAGCACGCTTCCGTACCGGCCCGATCCGCCCCGCATCCCGAATCGGATCCGATTTCCCGACTCGATGCTAACTTTCTAATGCAATTCAACATCGGCGTTTTACATCCGTGGTCGAGCACCAGCCAGAGCTGACATACTCCTGGTGTATCCAATTGACTCTTGGGCGCTTCGAATGAGTCCCCGCGCACTCAGGCCTATCCAGCCGCCTGCGGCAAGTCCCGCCACCGTGCCGGGCCAGCGTTCTGGGTGGCGACTGTTCGAGAGGCACAGGAGGCCGTCACGTGTGCCACCTCGTGTCTCCCAGCTTGGGAGAGTTGTAATGATGATGATGAGGCTTCAAAGGATGCAAGGGGGGATGACGATGATGTTGATGTTGTTTCTGATTAGTATGATGAAGATGATGCTGATGATGATGCTGATTATGATGATGATTATTAATGTGATGATGATGCGAATGATGCTGATGCGTATGATGATGACTCTAATACTGATGGTGATGATGACGGCGATATTGGTAACCGATGATGAGGCGGATGATCATTATGCCGAAGATAAAGCCGACGATGTTGATGATGAGGATGCTGATAATGATGCCGAATATGATTCTGCTGCTGCTGATGAGCTGGTGATGATGCGGATGCTGATAATGCTGATTATGATTATGATGATGGTGCTGTTGAGCTGATGCTGTTGCTGGGCGATAACAACGAGAATGATGCTGATGCTGATGCTGATGATGATCATGTTGATGCTGCTGCTGATAATGAACATGGTGATGGCACTCATGATTATTATGATGATGCTGACGATGCTGATGATGCTGATGATAGTTATGATGCTGCTGATGATGATGATGGTGATGGTGCTGAAGACGATGTCCATGATGCTGATGATGATGCTGCTGATGATGACGACAATGGTGATGATTATGGTGGTGAAGGTGACGGTGATTGTGATGGTAATGATGATCATGGTGATGCTGATGCTGGTGGTGAGGATCTGATCATAATGGTGACAGTGACGCCGTCGACGATGGCGATGACGATGACGACGATGAGGATACGGATCATGATGATAATGATGATGATGATGCTGATGACGATGACGATTATGATGGTGATGACGATGCGGATGAGGATAATGCTGATGATGGCGACGAGGACGAGGATGAAGATGATGATGCTGCTGCTGAGGATGATGACGATGCTGATGACGTCGATGATTTTATACGATGGTGTCGATGATCATCATGGTGAGGGTGATGCTGAGGATGCTGTTGATGATGATGACGATGATGCTGATGCGTGCCAGGATGCTGATGGTGATGGTGGTGATGATGATGACCGATGATGATGATGATGATGGTGATGATGATGATGGTGCTGATGATGATGATGATGATGTTGATGATGATGATGATGATGATGCGGATGACGATGCTGCTGATGTTGATGCCGACAATGGTGATGATGATCGTGTTAATGATGATGCTGGTGCTGATGATGATGATGCTGATGATGATGATGCTGATGATGATGATGACGATGACAATGATGCCGAGTCTGATTATGCTGCTGCTGTTGCGCTGATGTTGCTTCTGGGCGATGCTAACGGTGATGATGCTGTTGTTGTTGTTGAAGCTGATTATGATGTTGATGGTATTTGTGATTATTATGATAATGACGATGGTGATGATATTGATGAGGATGCTGATCACGATGCTGCTGCGGCTTACGATGCTGATGATGGCGCTCATGGTGATGACGATGATGAGGTTGATGATGATGGTGGTGATGATGCTATTGATGATGCTGATGCTGGTGATGATGATGACGATGATGCTGATTAGGATGCTGATGCTGTCGATGTTGATATTGATGTTGATGATGTCGATGCTGTTGCTGCTGCCGATGATCATGACGATGATGATGATGATGCTGATTATGCTGCTGATGATGCTGATGCTGATGCTGATGCTGATGCTGATGCTGTTGCTCGTGAGCAGAGGGCATGAGCGCAGCAGTCCGCAGGCACAGGGAGAGGTGATCTCTGTCATTATAACCGATACGCGCAAACCTTGGCAGCACCATAAAGATAGATCGAACATAACTTCTGATTCGAATCGACTAGAATCGTTTGGTTAGATTGAAGGTCGTCCCTCATTAGAACCAAACACATCGATATGAATCTCAGAGTAGCAACGATAAACAGAAAGCCATGCGATCTCTGATGAGAATCGACCAGGCAGCCCTCGGCATTCTTCCACACCGTAACCTGCCAGGAGGCACGGTGGCAGAACAAAACAGGTCTGATTTGATGGTGATCGTTGTTTTATTCCTTGCTTTTTTGCCGATCGGCGCGGACCCTCGCCCTCCCCCTCCCCCCCTTTAGAGTAGATCTTCGCTGTTCTTGGCGCTTGTTTCGAACAGGTGGAGGCCCTCCACCATTGGCCGCACTCTTGCAAACAGTCGCACTAAGCAGAGGTCTGGAGCCAGACCCCCCCCATCCGCCCCCCCCCCCTTTGCCGCCCAATGTCGAAACGCCGAATACAGAGACGCTCACATGGCCGCTTTCATCGGCCCTCATAGCCCTGCGTCTTTCGTGCGACGTCGGCGTCACCCCAACATACTGATACTATGTGTGCGTCGACCCCCCAGGGGCGACGCGCGCACCGATATGTCTTACAGTATACGCGTCGTGCGGGCGCTCTCTGGCCACACCGCTCGGGAAACGATATACTACAAGATGGGTGTATTAGATGTTCGGGTCGGACGCGCGCCTCCAAGGAGGACATTTAGTATCGGCAAGTCTCTGTGCGTCCCACGACGATATCGCGGGATGTTTTCTTTCTGAAGGGCTCATCCCGGGCAGAAGCAGGTTTAATTTGATGGCCGCCTTCGTCGGGCATTCATAGCTCCGAGTCTTTCGTGCGAAGATCTCCCGGCTGTCATTGGAAAGGGCTCATCCTGGGCAACGGCAGGTGCTGGCCCCGGGGAAGCGGCGACGCATCGAGCCCCGACCGCCCGACGAGGAGGAGGAGGAGGAGGAGGAGGAGGAGAAGGGGGAGGAGGAGAAGGAGGAGGAGGAGGAGGGACGAGGAGGAGGAGGAGGATGAGGAGGAGGAGGAGGTCCCCTTTCCGAAGGACTCATCCTGGGCAGCGGCAGGGGCTGGCCAGGGGTTGTGGGGGGGCGACGGATCGGGCCCCGACCGCCCAGTCATCGCCGCTCGGCGCCTCGGCCCCTCCGCCTCGCCTGGGAACGCATGCGGCTTCGCTGTCGGGGGCTGATCGGTGAGATCAATCGGCGGTGTCTTGCCGAGTCCAGGCCGTTGCCCCCCCCCCCCCCCCCCTGGAGCCCCTTCCAAGAGAATCCAATACGTAAGGATAGAAGTCTTGCCCGCAGCCTCCCCCAACCTTGATAATAACACATTGACACGTGGCCTCATTGAGGGCCCCGTCCTTTCTGAATGACCCATCCTTGGCAAGAGCAGGGGCTGGCCCGGGGGGGGGGGACGGCGACGCACCGAGCCCCCCGACCGGCCAGTCATCGCCACCCGGCGTCAGTGGGCCCCTCCGCCCTTCCCAGGTACGCATGTGGTTACGCTGTCGGGGGCCTATCGGCGAGATCAGTCGAATCGGCGGTGTCTTGCCGAGACCAGGCCGTTGTCCCCCCCTTCCAACTTTTTTTCCTCGTCCTCCTCCTTCCTCTTCCTCCTCCTCCTCCTCCCTCCTCCTCCTCCTCCTCCTCCTTCCTCCTCCTCCCTCCTCCTCCTCCTCCTCCTCCTCCTCCTCCTCCTCCTCCTCCTCCTCCTCCTCCTCCTCCTCCTCCTCCCGCCCCGCGAGCCGGTTCTTGCGCCGTTCGATCCCCCCCCCGCACAGGCAGGCGGAGAGGCCCGCCTTCGACTCCGCGGCGGCCGCGGAGTGGATGTCCGCCAGGCGGAGGGGGGGAGTGGTGGTGGTGGTGATGATGATGATGCTGCTGATGATGATGATGCTGATGCTGATGCTTATGCTGGTGCTGATGATGCTGATGATGATGCTGATGATGATGATGCTGATGCTGATGCTGATGCTGCTGCTGCTGCTGCTGATGATGATGATGATGATGATGATGATGATGATGATGACGATGACGATGACGATGAACATGATGATGATGTTGATGATGATGATGATGATGATGATGATGATGATGATGATGATGATGATGATGATGATGATGATGATGATGGAGGAGAAGGAGGAGGAGTCGGGAGGAGGAGGAGGAGCAGGAGGAGGAGGTGAAGGATGAGGAGGAGGCGGGAGAGGAGGAGGAGCAGGAGGAGGAGGAGGAGGAGGAGGAGGGGGACGAGGAGGGGGAGGAAGAGGAGGGGGAGGAGGAGGAGGAGGGAGAGGAGGAGGAGGCGGAGGAGGAGGAGGAAGAGGAGGAAGAGGAGGAGGAGTTAGGAGGAGGAGGAGGTGGCGGAGAAGGAGGAGGAGGAGGAGGAGAGAAAGGGGCTCACCGCCAGCCGCACGGGGCATCTGGCGCCGAGAGACGGCCTTGCAGCCTGCAAGCGTTAGCGGAGCGTCTTGGCTCGCCTATAGGCCCACCAAAGGATGTTCTAAGAAGCCGCATGTGGTCTGCACGGGTTGTCGGTAGAATATTCCTGGTTGAGAGTGTTTCTCGTTTTACCTCATCGGCCTCCTGTTCCATGGGCGTTACATTGTCTTGGTTCGTAGCATATTCGTTTTTGGTTTCAAGATCATGTCGTGGTATGCCTGTAGGAATGTCGGGACGGTCGGTCCCTGTTCACAGCCTCGCAAACGTGACCAATCTTGTTATGGGAGGTCTTCGATTGTTTCTGCGGCTGGGGGCTCTGACCGTCCCCCGGACCGTGGATGTCGTCCAGACCTCTGGGGCGGCCACGACGTGGACAAGATCACGGCGCCACCGTCACCGTGCTTGGCCAGGGGGGTCATCCCCTGGGCCCAGGGGTGGCCCAATGGTCTTGTACCATCCCTGGGTGCGTGCTTGAAGTGGGCTCCCGCGGTGAGGATTCTTGCTGTTGTGTTGTCGTCGTCCTCGCCCGCGACCCGCCTGGGCCTACCCGCGACCCGCCCGCGACCCACCCGCGACCCACCCGCGACCCACCCGCGACCCACCCGCGACCCGCCCGCGACCCACCCCCGACCTACCCACATTGCTCTTGCGGGATATCGGCGCCTGCGGCGGGATCGTTGCGCACGTTGTGAAAAGCTCTGCGCCTGCGCCTTGCAGAGGCTGCCGACGACTCCACCTCCCCGCCCCTCCACTCTTACCCGTAACTTGGAGGGGAAATGGTACAGTCAACCCGCGGATGGGCAACCCTCTCAAGGGGACCCTTGCATCCCTGCCCCTTTTGATGCCCATCTTTTGCCACTTTCACCGGCCGTGCTTCGCTCGAAGAGCTTCTGTCCATATCCACTGCAATATGGAGTTTCGGGCTCCCTTCCCCAGGAGCGCGCACTGGACATGGATAGACGTGCCCCAGATCGATCTGTAGGTCTGGAGTGTTTTTTTTGTTTTGCACTCTGGAAGGTCAGGGATGTGGCCCCCTAGTATCCCCCACGTGCGTGGCCCTCCTGGCTCACGTCGCCTCCCGGAGGGCTCTGAGGGCCAGACGCCCTCGCGTGTGGCCCGTCGCCCTCGCCTGTGGCCAGAGGGTGGTTGTGGCCCGTCGCCCTCGCGCGTGGCCAGACGTCCGGCCCGCTCGCTCCGTGGCTCGACCGAGGAGGTACGCCCTCCGCCCCCTCGGCGTTGCGTCGGGCCTGCTGCAGGAGGAACACTGACACGTAGTCAAACAAATCCAGAGGAAGAAGATGTACCCATGCCTCTACACTTCGCCTGCTGAGGAGGAGGAGGAGGAGGAGGAGGAGGAGGAGGAGGAGGAGGGGGCGGCGGAGGAGGAGGGGGAGGAGTAGGGGGAGGATAGTGAGGAGGATGATAATGAGGGGGAGGATGAGGAGAAATGAGAGGAGGAGGAGGAGGAGGCAAAGACAAAGAAGAGGAGAAAGCCTTTTCATCGGGAGCGAAAGAAGGACTTACACGTACATGAATCCACGTTTGCTTCGAGAGAAGGCATTGCCAGAGCGTCCGTACCACGCTGCCAGTCTCGCGGATATAGAGGGCCATGTCCATGCACGTGGTTGGGCGCTTACGTCCTTGGTGGGTCCCCTATCTCAGAAGCACCCCTGCTTCTCCGAGGGTGCGGGCCCTGTCTTGCAGATTTGCGCCTCCACGGGGCAGCGCCCTTCGAAGCAGCCTTCCCCCCCTCCTCCTACCCCCCGGCTGCGCGCCGCCACCAGGTGCCGGGAGGTGGCGGAGGAGCACGCGAGGCAGAAGGCGTCCGGCGAGAGGGGCAGCATCTACCACTTCCCCGGCGGCGCGCACAGAGGGGGCGGCCCGAGGGGGGCGGCCTTCGCCTTGGGAGGCCGAGGGGGCCCTCTGAGCAGCATCTGGTGCCTCCTGAAATAACATCGGGCCTGTCCCTCTACAGGGGGAATATGCAAAAAGAGTCAAAAAATTGTCTGGGGACGTTTTTCTCCAGTATTGTTGAATATTTTTGGAGTATGCTTTAACATTTTCGTTCGAAATTGGCCTGTAGGAGGGACATGGCCGACCTAATCCTAAAATCGGAGGTTGATAGACCTCCTACCCTGACACGTCGATTAGCGAATTGGCCGTTTTCGGTTCGCGAGAGGGCGTCGCGGCCGTCATTTTTGCGGTCCAGGTCCGTCGGTGTTGGTCCCAGGCCGTTTTCACTAAAGGGTGGTTTGCTAAAGGGAGGTTTGTCCACCTCCGATAACAGGCTTTGTAGAAGCCCCCCCCCTGCGGTCTCATGAGCCAACGTCGCCGACCCACGATGCAGGCCTTCCGATGTGCGGCGGGGGCAGGGATCAGAATGCGTTCACCTGAGTGCGAGATCCGAGCTCCACCCCCGAAGTCATGATTTTTCCATGACGTCGACCCCCAGAGGCCTCCGCCCATTCCCTTGGACCAATTTTGCATCCAGTTGCCGTTTTTAATACATGCTCTGCGTGCGGATCATGTATTAAACATGCATGGGTTTTAGTATTGAACACAACGATGAGGTCATGCATGAATTATTCATACATAATCATGTATTAAGATCCTATGTTTAAAATCTTATGCGTTAAAACTGCTCCGTCCTGGGCCGCTTTTCCACGGCCCCGAGGCCCGGCAAGGGGCCTCAGAGGCCGAGACCTGCGGAGCACTTCTCGCGGGCGGCGAGGCAGAGGCAGTCCGCACCCGCGCGGGGCGGCCTGGGGCGACCCATCGGCGCATTGTCCGGCGTGCGCGAGGAGGGGGCGAAGCAGAGAGCGGCCGCGCGAGGGGAGGAGGGGGGAGGCGCTCGGACGCGGAAGGGTCCCGCGGCGAGCGTCAGAACACGGCGAAGCGCCTCCCGTCGTGCTTCGTGTCACCGCCCGAGGGGGTCCTGGGTGGAACGGAATGCGCCGCTCGATGCGGGAGCGGCGGCGGCTGGCCCCGACGGCACGTGCCGGCGGCATGGGCCCCTCTCGGCGCCGCCCCCTCGCGTCTGCGCCGCCGAGCGTCAGCGACCTCGTGTCCGACCGGTCGGGGGCAGGCTGGTTTCCTGGCGGGCGCCGCGAGGTGCTGCCACCACAGGATCGGGCGCTGCTCGTAGGAGGAGAATCGGAGGTTGATAGACCTAGCCTGACGCGTCGATGAGCGGATTGGCCGTTTTCGGTTCGCGAGAGGGCGTCGCGGCCGTCATTTCTGCGGGTCCAGGTCCGTCGGTTTCGGTCCTAGGCCGTTTTCACTAAGTGGGTGGTTTGCGAAAGGGAGGTTTGTCCGCCGCCGAAAGAAGGGCGGGGGCGGCCAAGAGGGGAGTGATGATTAGGGGGGGTGCATATCATGGCGTGGGCCATGATGCTTCCTCAGATTTCATGGCGCCTTTTCTTATGTCATTACGTCCCTGGTCCCCTCCGTGGGCCGCGCACATACCGCTGGCCATGATTTGCGCCCCCTCCCTCTTGGACGCCCCCCTCTTGGGCGCCCCCTCGGGTTCGGGAGTTCGCCGAGCACGTGACGAAATCCGAATGCTACCCCCGCCTCCCATCGATTCAAAAGAATCCATGATCAGGGGGGGGGGGCAGGGTTCAGGTGTCGCCGCTTACTCGAGCTGGCCTTCTAGGCAAGTTGTTCCTCGATTTGGGCGCCTCTGTCGAAACAACCACACAAACACAAGCTTGACGGTCAGCGCAGATTGCTTGGATCTTCGCTGGGCCCCCCTCCGGGGCGCGCGGAACGCGCCAGCGCCGGCGCCGAGGGTTGCCGCCAGGGGGGTCCAGCGCAGATGCAAGAGGTCCGGGCGGAGCGCCAACAGTTTATTCAGGAGGGGGAGAAACACACAGACAATATAAATCGTCGATCCCCAGGAAAATATGGGAAAATATGGGAAGTGGGGGGGAAGACAGACACCCAGAAAATATGTGAAAATTTTGGAAATATTCTTATTTGTGTGTATTTATTTGTGTGTTTGTGGGCCCCTTCATTTATGTTTATGCTGAGTTTTTTCTTCGATTGGCGGAGGTCTGGGCCTGGCAGCTGGAGGAGCCAACAGGTATACCCCTACCGCCACTCACCGGGCCTCTCCCGGGGGGTGCGCTCTGACCAGAATGTTGAGGCGACTCCGGCGGTGGCGACGAGAGCCTACCAGGAGGCCCCCCAAAAGGGGAAAACGCGCGGTCAAAAGTTGTTGGCGGCCATCTCCTGTCGTAGTCGTCGTAGTTCGTTCGGCTTCGTGCAGTGAGGGCGAAGACGATGGCGTTGTCGTTGACCAATCGATGTTGCCAATGGGCTGCCACGAGCCGTCCGACGAAAACTCGGAGTAGCCGCTGTTGTTGCTCGGAGGGTCCCGGCGGTCCTTGCTGTCCTTACTCCTCGCCGCCTCGATCCGGGCGCCTCTTCCTCGATCTCGGCGTTTTTTCCGTGCTTGTCGGCTTCCTGGAGCGGGCGCTGCCGGAGGGAGCTGGGCCAGTCTTCAGGCAGTGAAAAACACAGTCACAATTAAACGTCGACTTCCAGGAGCATGTTGTAGAATATGGGAGAAGTGGAGGAGAAGATGAAAGTCAGCAAGATCTTGAAGATATTTGGAATCCAGGTATTGATGTCTGCAGTCAACGCGCCTAGCAAGGACGCGCGCCTTCATCGAGGGTCATCCCGTGTCCTTGCCTCTGCGCCCCGTCCTTAGCCGTTTTCACGGGTCGCCCGCAGCACACAAAATCCAGTTTCGGCCTTTAAGCGTCTTGCGTCCCTATCCACCTCCACCTCCACCTTCCATACCATCTGACCTCAACGGAAGGTGCGGAATAGTTAATCGAAGTTCATCGACACATTCTGCAACTCAAGGAAACCAACATCGACCATATCCGAAGAGGGGCGGAAGGTTAGGGCGGAAGGTCGGGAAACATGAGGGGGATGACCATCCGTCTTAATTCACAAGCCAGGCGAAGGCTGGCAAACCCGTTGCTTCTAACACGGAGTTCCGGGGAATTGGTTTGTTTTTCCGGGAAGCAGCCCGTTTACTATTTCGTGCGCCGAGGGCGTTGAGTCTTATCCCTGGAACGTGTTTTTGGTGTCTTCCGGGAAGACCGTTTTAGCAGCCACGGATTTGCCAGCCTCGCCCAGCTTCCCATTCATGCACGTTTTGATTGTGTCTTATAGGCTTGCGCCACATCCGCTGACCCCTTGATCTAGTCGGGGACCATCCGTTGCTATCCTGGGGCCTTCTTGTGCCGATGCTCGGGGCCGCAGGGGCGAACAGGAGGAGGGACATATGGAGGTGCTCGCCCAGCTTCCGGTTAATGCACGTTTTGACTGTACTTCTCACCACCCACCAAACCACCCCAACCCAACCCGAAGGCTCAGATTTACCCTCGATTTCTAGTGTGGGGGGGTCGGGAAACATCGAACAAACACATGTGGAACCCTTACCCCCGCCAACCCGAAATTCGGGTCTTCGGGTTGGGTTGGGGTGGTCTGGTAGGTAGTCAACTTTTTTTGCGTGTCCCTCTGGGCCCCTGTGCAACCGGCAGGGCACCAGCTTTGCATCCGGCAGAGCGCCAGTGGCGGGCCTCTGCCCAGCCCCGCGGGTCCCTGGTCGCCCGGCCACCGCGGGGCGGGGAAGGGGGACGGGGGGACGGGAGGGGGAAGGATCGAAGGGGAGAGGATGGAAGGGGGGAGGATCGAAGGGGAGGGGGGGGGGAGTGGTGGACCGAAGGCTGGGAGGATCGAAGGGGGGGAGGGGAGGGGAGGAGAGGGGGGGGAGGGGGGAGGGAGGCTCGAAGGGGGGGATGGGGGAGGAGGGAGGATCGAAGGGTGGGAGGATCGAAGGGTGGGAGGATCGAGGGGGGGGGTGGGAGGGGAGGGGATGGGAGGGTATGAGGACGGGGGAGGGAAGAGGAAGATCGAAGGGGGGATGGGGAAGGAGGATCGAATGGGGGGAGCATCAGCCAGGTCCATCTTGCCCCCCCCCCGCCTTTTGGACCCCTCCCCCCCACCCATCGTCGCCCCTCGGAGGAGGGAGGAGATGGAGGGCGCCGACGACACAAGGAGGCTGGACCGAACGCATCTTGCGATGGGGAGGGCAGCGTCAGCAGGGACGGGGTCGGGGTCGTCCGAGGCCTCGCGCCCTGCGGGCCTCTCCTCCCTCGCTTGCCTGCCCCAGAGGGCCTTCGTGCTGGGCCCTCCGCCGGGGGCCGCACAGGAGGACGATTGCCGCTCTCCGTGCCCACCGCCGCACGCGGCGCGCGGGAGGGCTTGGGAGGTTCTGGGAGGCCCCGGGACGATCGAAAGGGGTGCGGAAAGACAGGGTACAAAGACCGACAGCAGTTCCTGCTCATTTTGAGCAGGACTCGCTGTCGGCGCCGCCGCGGACGGTGTCCACTGGAGACCACAAGCCGCCTGCCGAACACCGGCCGCTGTCGGTTGTGGACAACACTTGCTGTTGGGCATCGGACAACCTTTTTTCCGTACCCCGCTCAGGGCTAGCTTCGACGGTGGGGGCCCTGAGACAGGCCACAGTGCAGCCACTGGGGTTCCCGTTCCGATTGCCAGGGTACTGACTCGCACAAGACCGCTCGAGGAAACAGCTTCGGCCCCCCGAGGCCTTCGAGGATGGCCTGCAGGGCTTCGAAGGTTTCCACGCTGAGAGCTGCTATGAGCCATCGCCTCACAGCTCACAAGCAAAAAAAGGTGTCATACAACAAGGCCGCATCATATTCCACACCATCTCCTTGCTCTAAGGAGTGTCCCTGTTGCAGCCAAGCTCCGAAAGAAGGAGGGGGGAGAGCTGGGAGATCTAGGAGGGGGAGGTCGAGGAGGAGAAGGAGGACCAGTGTAAACCCAATGCTCGTAAGCAATGTTGCAATATACCCTCCCTCCATATTCCCGCTCCATAGGTCCTTACAATGATTCGTGTCACTCTGGGAAGTTCCCCGTTGGAAGTCACCGATTGAAAATGAACAACAATGCCGAATCACCAATCCCAGCATCTCAACGCCGCGCATCAATGCTACTGCTGCGTCGTGACCATCCAGAATTCGTACCACACCGCTATGCGTTTGGGTTATCTGGGGCTCGCGCCGCAAATCCACGTGACCGTCGCGCCCTGACGGTCAGACATCGTGCCATCACACCATGCCCGGGACGTTGACCTGCGAGTGTGCGCGGCGCTAGGGCAATCGCCACATGTGGAGCAAGATCCGCCCTCCACCTGGTCGAGTGTGCTCGGCGCTGAGGCGAGAGCCACATTTTGTAGAGCCGTGCGACAGGGGGGATGTAGCTAGAAGAAACAGGGAAGGAGGAAGAGAAGGGAAGAGGAGGGAGGAAACATGACGAGGAGGGATGACGAGGAACAGGAGGAGGAGGAGGAGGAGGAGGAGGAGGAGGAGGAGGAGGAGGAGGAGGAGGAGGAGGAGAGGAGGGGAGGGAGGCGGGGGAGGCAGGAGGACGAGGAGGAGGGAGGAGGCAGGGAGGGGGGCAGGGGGGGATGGGGGGAGGATCGAGGCCCCCCTCTGGCTGCCCCGACCCCCCCCCCAGGAGGACTTCCTGCTGCAGCTGCAGCGGGCGCTGGCGCCCCACCACGCGCGCCCCGCGGAGCACGCGGCGGCGGGCGGCCCCCCCCCGGAGGCCTGACGCGCGCGGGCGCCGCCCCGGCGCTCGGCCGAGGGCAGCGGCGATAGGCCGAGGCGCGGGCCCGCCGTCGAGGAGCGGGAGCTCAAGCAGTGGCGAGGCGTCTCGGCCTGCCTGTAACCTGGCATCGCTCGGACGTGTGTATTTTTTTCTCAGCGAGGACCATCGAGGACCATCCTGGACCGTCGAGCAAAAAAAAACACGCACGAAACCGACAAAGGCGCGGGAAATGGACGTCCGAGCGATGGCAAGGTAAGGCCACCAAGGAGTGTTCTGAGAGCTGGTTGTGCTTTGCACGAAGGGTTCTCAGAACATTTCTGGCTGGGGCTGCCTTGTGTTGGCGCATCGGCTTTTATGTTCTAAGTACATGGTGCTTGTTATTGGAACTTGTTTGGGTTCTGAGAGCATTCCGTGGTAGGCCTATAGGAATGCCGGGACGGCCGGTCCCTGCTCAAGGAAAGGATCCCAGACATGATCACGTCGTACAACAAGAAATCAGGATGGATGGTTTTGTGCCTTTGTCGGCCCTGGTTGGCCCTCGCTGGGCCTCGGGACAAAAACGACTCAGGACCAAAAACCGGTCCCAGGGAGAGGGTCGGGACTTCCAGGGGCCCCGTACTGAACAAAATCAGGACGCCGCATTTTTGGGATCGGGTGTTGCGCCCCGGAAGCGGCAGGGCCGTGGTTGCACCGCTTCCGAACAAGTGTCTCTTGCACATGGAAGCGGCAACAAAAAGCGGCGACCGGAAGCGGCAACAGAAGCGGCTCCGGCATTGGAGCCGGGGCCGGAACCAGAAGGAAGCACGCGTGACGGAGCAGGCAAGCAAATGGCGTCGAAGCCGCCAACAAACACGGCCCTGTCGCTTCAGAGCCCACTGGGCCCAGGGGAACCACGAGGGTGCGAGGTTGGTCGCGCGTGGCGCTGCGCGTTCTGGGCGAGCTCGGAGCGAGGCGCGAGTCCCTCGTCCTTTTCCGGAGGGGGGGAGGGAGGCGGCGCGAGAGCGCGAAGAGGATCTGCGCTTCGTGGAGCACAGAGCGCGAAGGTGTTTGGCCTAGGTTGCCAGGAGTGCCCCTGGCCCAGTGCCCTCAGGATTTCCATGGAGGCCCCCTCGGCCTCCAGAGCCCCCTCACGATCCCAGAGGGCCGCTGGGGCCTCAACGGGGAGCGCAAGGCTGGGAGCACCTCGGGCCAGTTAACTGACTCAGGAGGAGAGAGCGACACACGGACAGAAACAAGCGTGGTTCCCGTGAACAAATGGGACGATCTGGAAATCGGAGGGGAAGACCAGCGCCGACACGAATGGCGAGCTCCGTGGGAAGAGAACTCGAGATCACATCAGCGACGGAAAACACTGAGGATCGAAATGGCAAAAATGGACGAACATCGAAAGACGGAACACTGTTTAAACACAAACCAAGGACGAACACATCGGAGGACGAAAATCGAACATCGAAGGACGAACACATGTGCAACAAAACGACGCGCGCGACGACGGCACGTGGCGGCCCCCCGCGGCCCCATCGCGGGCGCTCAGCGGCCTCGCTCTGGCGCGGCGCGGCGCCGCGCGGCGCCCCTGCGCGGGGGGGCGCGCTCGGGCGCGCGCCCCCTCGGCGCCGCGCGGTGCCCCGCGCGGGGCGGCCCTCCCGCGGGGCACGCCTGCCCGCCGCCGGCTGCTCCGCCGCCGGCTCCTCCGCCGCGAGGCTGCTCCTCCCGCCTCGTCCTCGTCCTCCTCGCCCTCCTCGTCCTCCTCCTCCTCGTCGTCGTCCTCCTCCTCGCCCTCCTCGTCGTCCTCCTCGTCCTTCTCCTCCTCCTCCTCCTCCATCTCCTCCTCCTCCTCCTCCTCCTCCTCCTGCTCCTGCGCCTTCCGCCTTTCTCCTCGTTGTGGTTCGTCCTCGTCCTCCTCTCCGCCTCCGCGCGGGGGGGGCGTCCCCGAGGTCAGGGCGCTGGGCCAGGCAGCGGCTATAGGCCCCCCCCCAGCAGGGTAAGAATGAAGGGTCCTCCGATTCCTAGGGTTGGGTCGGGCGTGTCAGCCTACAGGGGGATTTTCGACGACAAATAAACAATACCTTAAAAATAGTCCAAACATAATCCAAACATCTTCCAAACATAGTATGGGGACTATGTTTTGAGCATTTTTCGACAATTTTGTGGGGTATGTTTTATTCTTCGTCGAAAACCCTCCTGTAGGGGGGCAGGCCCGACCTAATCCTGGGGGAGGTATTTTAATCGTGTTCCCCCGACTTCAGGTCGCTCCACAAGAACAACCTCCGCCCTCGTCCTCCCGCCTCTGTCGGGGGCGGCAAAGAGGGGGGTGATGACTAGGGGGGGTTGGTATCATGGCGGGGGCCATGATATTTCCCCATATTTCATGTTATTTCATTACGTCCCTGCCCCCCCCGCTGGGCCGCGCACGTGCCGCCGGTCATGATTTGCACCCCCCTCTCTTGGACCCCCCCCTCTTGGCCGCTCCCGACTCTGCGAGCAGCCCGCTGTCCGGGCCCACGGCGAGCGGCGGTGGCTCCCTCCCGGGGGAGGGGGGGGGGGGACCGCGTAGCCCGCTCTCGGCCCCAGCGTTCGCTCTCGGACGGCATGTCGGCGTTCCCCCCCTTCCCTCCTCCCAGGAGGCCCCCAAAAGTGCCCCCAGAGGCTCCCAGTATGCCTCTTCCTCCTCCTCCTCATCCTCCTCCTCCTCCTCCTCCTCCTCCTCCTCCTCCTCCTCCTCCTCCTCCAGCCCCCCTGGCCCGGGAGATTGAAGGTATGGGGGCGGGACGCGAACTCGCGCAGACGTCCTGCGGGGGCTGTATTCTCGCGTGCACGGCGCTTGCTGCGGTGATGTCACTGCGCGCGTTGGGGTTCAACCCACTTGCGGCGACAGGCCTGCGTCTTGACGAGATTGTGGGGGAAGCGAGAATATGTGATTTTATTCTCCTGGCGGAACTCAAAACGTGCGTCGTGATGCTGAGCAGAAGGTTTTGAGGGCTCGCTCCATGGGCAGGATGGTGTTGGAAACGGCGGTGACCCGAGAACCTTTTTCGAACAGAAGTTGCGGGTGCTCGATTGTCCTACCCCTATGGGGCTACTGAGTCGAACCTCGAACGAATTTTTCCGAGCCCGGCAGGAGCGGGAGGGAGGGGAATGGCGGTCAGATACAAAAAGGGGCCAATGGATTTATGCCTTATCGTTTTATACTATCCCCCCCAACCTCCCAGAGCAGTTCGACAGGGCTGCTTGCGTACGGCTCGTATCTTGTCAGAGCGGCTGGGTGCGATCCTCTCCAGTTTGCCGTGCCGCTGTACGCCTCTCGTGTTCTCTGACGTGAACGACGGGATGGGGGAGACGATGGGGGCGGAGTGCTGGAGAGATCTGGAATCGTCGGCTATAAGGTGCCCTACACGGGAAAACTTCGTTGTGGGGCTGGGCATTTGTTTCGGGAGCAACTGGAAACGCATCGCATGGTGGCGGGGAACACGTTCACCACGAACCCTGTGCTAACTTTTTTGTCGTCTATGGGCGGGGGGCGGGGACAAGGATCGATCATTTCTGTCACCCCGCGGGCCTGAACCACAAGCTCAAGACATGCCACCCCCTGTTGAACCTGGGTGCGACATTGCAGGCCTTCACGGCCCCCCCGCCTAAAGACCATTTGCCGTTGTACTTCGAAATTCTGTGTTGGAAAGGTGGAGAAGAGGGCCCTGCGGCCGCTCCGCCGCTGGCTTGGGATAGAAATGCTATGATGGGTGCCGTTCGATGGGGGGCGGGTAGAGCCGAATTTCTGGAGACGGTCAAACGTGAGCTGCAGAGGCTGCCTGTGTTGTCCTACCTCCACTACTCCTCGCCAAATGCGATCTTCGAAGGGCTTGAGCAGGCGATCGTCACGGCAGGGCAGCAGCATTTCTCAAACACAACAGCCCAAACTTCGACGTATTCGGAGGACTGTCGCCGTCGTCGTGAACTCCTTAGACAGCGTGCGCACCTTTGTCATAGTAAGCTAGGCAATGCTCCAGGGTACGCCAGGACGGCCGACCAGGAGCTCAAGGACCTGACAAAGGAGCTCACACGAGCCCGTCGATCTCAAACTCGGATACGGCGCGCCCGACTCGTGCAGGAGGCGAAGGGCACCCGTCGCAGCGGTCGGGAGTCTAAGTGTATGCGAGCTCTTCGGGCAGCAGCGAGATGCCGATATGGTCCTAAGCAGAGAGATGGCAGACTGGTCCTTTCGGCTTTTCTTACTTGCGACGAGTGGAAGGAGGTGTTGGAGGGGCCTGGTAAGGAAGGAGGTATGTCAGCAGTATTACTGGATTGGGAGCAGTGGAGGAGCACGCGGGAGGAGGAGACGTACGAGGAGGTAAGGGATCCAGAGATTGGCGAGTTTGTCGATTTAGACATCCAGGCTATGCGACGCTATGTTAGACGGGCCCCCGCAAGGCGTGACGTGCCAAATGGTATTATGCCCTTGGAACTGTGGCGCATGCGTTGCTACCCAAACTGGCGCATTCGAAGTCGAGCGGGCTTCGGGGCGGAAAAGAAGAGCCTTTCGGTGCATATCTTTTGGGACGTCTTACGGATCGGGTTGGAAAAGGCCCGTCCATATTGTGCCTCGCCGTTATATTTGCATCTGTCCCAGGGGGCCGCGCTGCGCAAAAACATGTTGCGCGGCCCGGAGGTAAGAGGGGTGGTCCAAGTGTTGCCGGTCGCGGGCAAAGCGTTGTTCGCCTCTCGGGTCCGCGGCCAGGCCACCCTGCGCGACCGTGGCTTCGTGAAAGGCCGACGTCGTGAGAATCCGATCCTGATTGCCCAGGTTGTGAGCCACAGGTTCGTTCCAGATCCGCAGGGCCCACTGCATGGCCCTGAAGGACATGGCAAATGCTTTCGCCAGTACTTCGCGGGACTCCATGGATGTCAGCATGGAGTTGCACGTGCGGCCCAGGGGCCCGGAGTTACGCAAGCAGCGTTGCAGGTTGTCCGCCGCAGAACTTACAGGCAACGGCGGCTCGATCACACTTAAGTCGCAAGAGGGAGGAGTCACGGGCGATCCTTTTGTGGTTCGTACCTTCCAGCAACCATTTTCACGACCTAATTTGAGATGGAGTGGGGACTTGTTGGGCTTTGACCCCGCGGCGAGGGTTTTGAAGGGGCGTTGGGGGGACCTCTTGACGGATTTGCCCTTGTTAAAGTACGCAGACGACCTGGGCAAGTTTGTGATCGTTGAAGAGGGCATGACATCTTTTTCGATTTCATTGACAAGCTTTCGGGGGCCGACCAGCTTCTCATTGCCTCTCCCACTGCGGTTTGGCCCAGAACCTCTCGAAACAGGAGTTCTTGTTTTATTTATCGGGAAAGGGCGCAGTACTTTTGTTGTTGGCTTTTGAGGGATCCTCGGCGTTTTGGTCTTCGCGGAGTGCCCCAAGACGATAATCGATGCCTTGGCCCGCATGTGGCTTTGAACGGTAGCGCCCATTTAGGGGTCGCTCGGAGGTGTGCCGCGGCCCGCAAGGCCTTCTACTCACTTGGGGGGATTTGGTCCCTTCCCATTGTTCGACGGCACAAGCGCTCGCATCTGCAAGGACTGGTGCAGAACGCTCTTCTCTCAGCTCTGGAGTCTTTCTATTTGTCCTCTCGGGATTATCAAGCGTTGGATGCCTATCTAGCAAGAGTTGCGCGCGTTGCAATGCAGGGGGCGGCTGCGGACTGGGAGGGGGGCCGCGTAAAGAGCATGAGCATTAAACAGGTCTTAGATGTCTGGGAACTGGCAGGCTCGCGAGTAGAATTGCACGTGCGCGGGCTGCGTCTGTGCCAAAGTTGGTCCGCCGACCCCGTGGGGGCCTCTCGGGTCTTGGTGGCGCTCTTTGGGGCTCTCGGCATTGATTCTGGTCGTCCGCCGTGCTTGGGGGGCGCCCTGACTCAGCATGCTTCGCCGTGGGCGCGACAAGTCGTTGAGGACCTCGAGCTGGCAGCCCGTATTCTCGATGCGCAATGCGCGGGGGATGTTGCGAGGGACCTGCGGACCCTCGCGAGCAGTGGTCGGAGGGAGGAATTCCGCATGATCGATATGACGCAGTTGAGGTCCAGGGAGTTCTCTTTGGCGATTCCTCCGCCTCCCTGCTTGGGGGGCCCTGTCGCCAGTGGTCGGCTTGTGCCATCACATCCCCTTGAGTCTCCCGATGATCCTCAGCTTGCCTGTCATATTGTCGGATGTCCGAGCAGGTTCCACACTTGCAAACAATTGTTGAATCACTTCAGGTTTGCACATCACCAACGGAACTTTGCGGCTGTTCTCACTCCGACGAACGTTTGTAGATGTTGCAGGGCCGTATTCCGTGATCGTTTGTGTGCAGGCCGTCGCTTGCAGACAGCGCTGGTTAAGGGGGTATGTCTAGGCGGAGGGGGCCGCGCGCTTCTTCCAGTCCGTCAGCCTGCTTCCTTCGCTTGCCGATTGTATGATTTGGAACGGGGCGATCTGGGCAGTCTCTGTTGCCATCTTGTTCAGCACCATCTGCCAGTTTCCATATCTACACGGGCTGCAGAGCGGCAGAGTACGGATGGCCCAGGGCAGCGAGGAACTACCCCTTCCAGCGCGGTTCAAGGGCGGCAGGGAGCGCCGCGCGGCGGAGGGCGAAGGCGCGGCAGAGGACGTGGACAAGGACAGGGGCGACCAGAAGACCTCAGGCGGTGGCGAGGGCCCCAGCGGCGACACCTCCAAGCTCGCGAACGCCATGGGTCGGCTGATCGTCACGATGGATCGCGACCTGGAGGAGCTCAAGTCGGCCGTCTACGAGCGCGCGGCGCTGCTCGCGGACAACGAGCTCGCGGGGGCGTCGACGCGCGCGGGCAAGGAGTACAACGTCAACAGCAAGGAAATGAAGGCGGCGCAGTCCAAGGGCGAGGAGCAGGACTGGAAGGGCAGAGGCAGCCCGCACCTGCCAATCTCCATGACGCCCATGGTCGCGGCGGCGGCGCCCACGACGGACAAGGAAGAGGAGAAGGAGCATCGCGCGCACGTCATGAAGGCGCTCCGCGAGATCCAGGGGATGCCGTTGAAGACGCTGGGCCTTCGAGCGCGGGTCTTCCGCGCGCGCTGGCGCAAGCCGAAGGAGGGTGTCCAGCGCACGGGCCACTTCGAGTGGGCGGTGGACACGCGCTCGACGGCGGGCATGAACCTCTACGAGGTCCCCATGAAGATCATGGCCTCGCAGGAGGCCGAGCGGACGTCAGGCCCGGCCCCGAGGGGGCCGCTGGTTCGCAACGTCATCGAGCTGGACGGCCCCAAGAACTGGGCCACCGCATCAACTTGCGGAGCAGTGAGCGCCCAGCGGAGCTCGTCCGCAGGGGGGTTGTCTCGGCTGAGACTGCGCAGCGAGCTACGCGGCCGGCGGTGGCCACGTACGCGCACCCCGCACTACCATCCATCCCCATCGCTTTTATCCCCCCCGCTCGGAGACCTCCCTCTCGCCCCTCTCGCCCGTCTCGTCAGGACAGCGGCGCACAGGGCTCACGCCCTGCGGGTGGCGCCCTATAGGGGATGTGTGCCCCTCGGGTTGCCGCTCGGGCCCGTGCCTCCACTGGAGGAGCGCGCGGCGGGCGCCAGTGCAACAGCAGGCTGAACGCAGACCACTTAGAGTCCTTTCAGGTAGGGCGGCCTACGATGACGATCAGGACTCCACGAGCTTTGCTTGCTTGCTCCTCCTCCTCCTCTTCCTCCCCTCCTCCTCCTCCTCCTCCTCCTGCTCCTCCTCCTTCTCCTCCTCCTCCTCTTCCTCTCCTCCTCCTCCTCCTCCTCCTCCTCTTCCTCCTCCTCCTGCTCCCCCTTTGCTCCTCCTCTTCCTCTCTCTCCCTCTCTCCCTCTTTCTCTCTCCAGGTGCGGGGGGTGGGTTGCTCTGTCGGCGGCCCAAGCGCGGGGGAGTGGAAACCCCGTGGCGGGTCTGACAAAGATTCCGACAAAGAGCCCTCTCCCGGCGGGCGGCCCCGCCCCGATTTTCTCGTTCTCTCCCCGTGGACCTTCCCCTCCATGGGCGCTTGTCCTTTCTCAGGAGGGGAAAAACACACAGATATGAGAAGATATGGGGATTTTGTTTGTGTGTGTTTATTTGTGTGCCCCAGTTTCCCTTCACTTTCTCTCTCTTTCTCTCTCTTGCTTTTCCTGTCCTCCTGCTCCGAGTGGCGCCCGTCGGAGCCCGGCGGCGCGCGGCTGGAGGGGGCCGATCTCGCACAGCAGCCCAGCGATGGCATCCGTCCGTGTCGTCAGACCTGCGCGGCGGTCCTCTCGACTGCCCGGGCCCGCGACTGGCGCCCCACTTCGCGCCCCGAGGGCCGAGGCAAAGTATCGGGGGTGGACAGAACCCCCAACAGTGACACGTCGATTAGTGAATTGTCCGTTTTCGGTTCTCGAGAGGGCGCCGTGGCCGCTATTTTCCAGGCTTGCGCCCGCCAGGTTTGCGCCTCAGGTCGTTTTCACTAAACCACGTTTTACTAAAGGGGGGTCTGTCCATCCCCGTAGCCAACGTCCCCCATGACACGGGGTTCACGTGGCCTTGAGAGACCGTCGGCCGGGTCGAGGAGACCTCGGAGGAGGGGTCGTTTGAGAGGGCGCGTGTAGGGGGCCGCATCCGAGCCCCACCCCCTTAATAACCCCCCACGAATTCGGATGGGGACGGTGGGGTTCACTTCGCTCGGGAGCTCCCGAGCGGAGTGAGCCCCACCCTCCCCCTCAGAACGCGGGGGGTTAGGGGTGGGGTTCGCATGTGGCCCCCTAGCTCCCGCGTAAGGTCGCGCGAGAGGTCCCACTCCTCCACGCGGCGTGCCACGCTGGCGGCCCGCATGAGCCGCGGCGTGAGGTCGCCGCTGTATCTTCTCGCGTGACATCCGTGCCTTCTCGCCGTTCCCATGGGTACCGAGGCCCTCCTTGGCCCCATCTCGAGCCCGGGGCCGATACAATTGGTGGAACTGCTGCACTGATCATAAGCTTCATGATCATTACATGGTGAGGAAGCCCCGGCGATTGGCCTCGGGGTGCGACAGGAGGGAGTTACCAGTCACAAGGAACAGTAATGAAACGCTTTCCTTGATACACATAGCGCATCCTGCGCGAGGGGGCGCTGGCAGAACTAGCTGCGTGAGCCGATTCGCGAACCCTCCTGTTCTATCTCCCCGCATGCCGCCCAGCTCGCTCTGCAGTGCCCCTGCATCGCTGCCGCGCTGGAGCGGATCGTCCCGTCTCGCTGCAGGCGGGAAACAAGTTCTGGTACCCCAGTTCGCGCGACCAGCGACTGGAGGGTTCCAAAAGGGTTTTTTTTGGAGAGGGGGTTTTCCAGAGAGCCCCCCAGGGGCTTCGGAACCTTGTCAAAACAGGGGGTGTGAAGCCCCTAGGGGGCTCCCCAAAAACCCCATTTGGAACCCTCTGGAGTTAGGAGGGGGAGGAGGCGAAGGCGGGGGAAGGAGCGTGAGCGCCCGTGGATGATCGCGAGGTGCGTAACGGTGGCGAGGGGACCAGCAGGTGCGAGTGGCCACGCTGCGTCTGGTGAGCGCGAGTTGCTCGCGCCCCCGACCGCCGGCGGTGGCGGCGGGGGCCGCCCACCGCCGGGCGCTGCCGCTTTTTCGCTTTTCTGGACGGCCTGGGCCCCAGTGAGGCCACCCCCCCGCAGGGCCGAGCACTAGCACGCATGTCCTGTCATGACTGCGAAGGCGACGACGACGACGACGAGTTCAACGGAACAGCCTCTTCCACACGCCGACAGGGTCGGCAGATTTTGTGCGCGACGCGGGGGGTCTCCTGGAACGCGGGAGCGGTGGGCGCGGGCCCCTCCCAAGGGCGCCGAACACGTGTCCACGCCCGCCGCCTGCCGAGGTGACACGGGCTGGGCTCCCTCAACCGTGGGCAGATTCCCGCCTCGCGGGGCGGAGGAGGAGGAAGGCGCAGGAGGAGGAGGAGGAGGAGGAGGAGGAGGAGAAGGAGGAGGAGGAGGAGGAGGAGGAGGAGGAGGAGGGGCACGGGCCGCGAGGCGCGAAGCGCGGTAACCATCGCGACGACGACGCGAGGAGGCGTCGCCAGAGCGGGCGCGCCACCCGGGCAGCCGCTCGCTGGCGCAGCAGCCCGCCCTGGGGCGCAGCAGACCCTGCGGCCCGCAGGGCCCACCCCCCGGCGGCCGGCGGCGGCCCGCGCCCCCCGCCCTCTTTCGGCGCGCACGCACCCCGGCGCGCCTCGCATGGCGGCGGACGCCCGGTGGGTGTCGCACTACGCGCCGTACGGCCGGGGCAGGGCTGCTTCGGGCTCGTGTCGAGTCCGCCGATTCAATCCGATGCGATCTCGATGGATTTCTCCGGTTCGGAGGTTCGGCATGGGATTCGATCTCGAGTTCGTTCCGATTCGATCCGATTCGATTTCGATTCGATTTCGATTTCGATGGATTCCGATTCGATTTCGATGGATTCGATTCGGCACCGGATTCCGATCTCGGGTCCGATTTCTCAATGGAGGCCTACAGGCCTGCCGATTGGTGCCGATTCGGCTCTCCCCGACTCGGCTGCCGATTTTTCCGCCGATCCGATTCAGTGCGATCGCCGATTCGGCTTAATTATCGATTCGATTCTGGGTTCTCCGGGGGTGGGGGCGCGCGGCCTGGGGCCTCGCTGGGAGGGGGGCCCAGAGACCCAACGTGCCGATGCAGATCGAGGCAGGGGGTTGCGCACGTTCGGGCGGGGCAGGGCGGGTCAGAGGTCTCCGTAGGCGTGGTCGGAGCAGGTGGGGTCGGAGGACCGCGCCGCGCCGCCGATGCATCGGCGGTGCGGCTTGATGCGGGGCCGGATTTGCTTCACGCCGACGTCGCCGAGGCATCGCCGATCGGCGTCGCCGATGCGGCGCGATCCTCCGACCCCATCTACTCGGACCGCCGGTCCCTGGGAGTGGGCCGAGAGTTCGAGGCACCCCGCGCTGAAAACACGCCAGGCATGGGATCTCTGGGACACGCTCAGTTGGGAACTGTTGTCGACGAGGCTGTATTTTTTTTCGTGGAGCCCACAGCGTTCAGGAGGGGGGTCGCCTCCCTCCCCCCTGGCAAACGCCAATGAGCGGGGGGTGGCCTTCACAGGCGTGGTTTGGTGCTGACAGGCACCAGAGAGCCACCAGACGCCTTCAGAGGCGGCCGACGTCGTCGTCGTTATCGTCGCCGCCGCCGCCGCCGCCACCGCCGTCGTCGTCGTCGTCGTCGTCGTCGTCGTCGTCGTCGTCGTCGTCGTCGTCGTCGTGGAAGTCGTCGTCGTTATCGCCGTCGCCGTCGCCGTCGTCGTCGTCGTCGTCGTGGCAGTCGTCGTCGTCCTCTCGTCCTCTCGTCCTCATCGTCGTCGTTCTCGCCCTCGTGGTCCTCGTCGTCGTCGTCGTCGTCGTCGTCGTCCCCGAGGGTCTCGAAGGACCTGCAGGCGCCCCAGAGGCCTGCAGAACTCTTCCGAGTCCTCCAGAGACCTGTGACGACCTGCAGAAGCGGCCGTCGTCGTCGTCATCGTCGCTGTCGTCGTTGTCCTTGTCGGCGTCGTTGCCCTCGTCGTCGTCCTCGTCCTTGTCGTTTCCGAAGAACTCGAAGGGCATGCAATTGCCTCCAGAGGCTTCAGACATCTCCTGAGGCCTCTGGAGACCCATGGAGACCTTCAGAGGCGGCCGTCGTCGTCGTCGTCGCCGCCGCCGCCGCCGCCGCTGCCGTCGTCGTCATCGTCGTCGTCGTCGTCGGCGACGTCGTCGTCGCCGTCGTCGTTTGTCCAGTGGTCAACCCCCCCCCCGTGCGGGGCCCGTCCACGTTGCCGTTGCCTCACCCACGGTGGCCTGGACCCCACACTCGTGGACGTGTTTCGGTCGCGGTCGGCCACGAGGCGGGTGGTGACTGTGGGGTGTGGTCATCATGGCGGGGGCCATGATGGCTCCCGAGATCTCATGGCGCTCCTTCTCACTTCGATACGTTGCCGGCCCCACTCTGGGCCACGCATATGCCGCCGGCCATGATGTGCGCCCCGCCCTTCTTGGACGCCCCCCTCTTGGACGCCCCCCTTCTTTTGCACGCCCCCGATCTCCCGACCGAGCTCTGATTGTTGTCGCAGACTTTTGTGAGGTCGTGGGTGTCTTCCATCGGTTGCGCCTTGCGGAGTCGGAGGCCCGAGTGATGGCCCGCAAGCCATGCCGAGGAGCGGAAAGCCAGGGGCAACCTCTCAGGAGGGGAGAAAAAACACACAGACACAGGGAAATATGGGAAAATCGGGGAATTGGGCGGGAAGACAAAAACAGAGAAAATATGGGAAAATATGGGGAATCACTTTATTTGTATGTATTTATTTGTGTGTCCTGGGGCCCCTTGAACCTCAGGCCGGCCTTGGCCGCGCGGAGAGGGGGGTTCGGAGGTGCACAGAACCCCCAACAGTGACACGTCGATGAGTGAACTGTCCGTTCTCGGTTCCCGAGGGGGCGCCGTGGCCGCTATTTTCCAGGCTTGCGCCCGCCAGGTTTGGGCCTCAGGCCGTTTTCACTAAACCACGCTTTACTAAAGGGGGTTCCGTCCATCCCCGAGGGGTAGGGGCAGGAGGGAAGGCCTCTTAGAGGCACCCCTGCTCCTTAGAAGGCGCGGGCTATCTCTGTAGATGTAGAGGCCGGCGCCTTCTGAGAAGCAGTTTCACTCCCAGAAGCCTCCCCCCCCTCCCCCTAGCGCCGAGTGCGCGCCGCCAACGCACGGCCAGGGCACAGAGGTCTGGACCCCTTCCCGGGAGCCGTCCCAGGCAGAAGCGGTTCCGTGCTGCCCAGCGAGGGTTTCCGGAGGCCTCGCACGTCCGACGACGTTGCGCCCTCTTTTGTTTGTTACGTTTACATATGTATATATGTGGAATATATATATATATATATATATATGTATATACATATATATATATATATATATATATATATTCCATCTATAAATATGTATCTATACATATACACATTATTTCTCTCTCTCTCTGTATAGTTTTTCTTTCCCCTTTGTTTCCCCCCCCATCCCGTCGCGGCGCGAGAGGGTCAGAGTGGAAGCAGTTATTGTTCCCCCCATTCATTGGCTCAGGATGCAAGTCCTGGAAGGTTCAACTCAGCATCGGCGCTGGTAGATCCGCGGTCGAGGACAGACCCTGTCTCCATCCTCCTATTCCCTTGCGGCTCCTCCCCCGCGTTCCCCCTTCGGCTCTCCTCTCCTCTGCGGACCACCTCTGTTTTGTCTGGGGATTCTCTCTTGCAGCAAGGGAAAGATCATTTCAAAGCGACGCCGTGGCCTCGTTGCTGCCCCGGCCTCGCCCCGCGCGTGCCTGGGACCTGGGGGCGGACGGCGCCGGCCCCATCTCTCGCGAGGGGCAGCTGAGCCTCGGGTGCTGACCCAAATCCCGCACAACTCGCCGCGCGGAGCCTCGTCGACTGGAGCGTGTGCTGAGGTGACCCTCTCCCACCAAGGATACGCCACGTACACGCGCGGAGCGCGGCACGTGTCTCTCGTGGCGTGGACGCTCTCGCTGGTGCAGACCGCCTGGGACGAGCCCTGGATCAGCGCCAGCTTGGCCCATTCGTTATCCACGACATGAAGCCACGCGCACTCTGTCGACAGAAACAACCTAGGACAGAAAACAGCAAAGCAAACAGCAAAACTGCGTTTTCGTTCCGTCAACTTGTTCCACGCCGGCAGAGTCAAAATGGGGCCGACGGCCTCCGTCTCCTGGACTGCGGCACCTATCGGGTATAGCCAGGACCCCAGGTAAGGGGACCCGGTTAGTGGTATGGCCGTGGGGCCCTTCAATTGGCCAGACTCACTAAACCAGGTTTGCCGTAACAGGTGTTTGTCTGGTGACGGCAGCTCCGGTTCGTGGAAGTGGGACGGGGGGGCGCCCCCGGTACAAATTACTAAACCAGGTTCCACTAAACCCACTTCTGCCAACGCCCGAATCTGTAGGAGACCCCACCCGTGCCACCCGGAGAACCACTCGTTTGGCACAGCGGCGGCTGCGATCTGCGTGTGGAGCTCGGTCCCCGGGTGTCCAGATGCTGGGCAGCCACGGTCCCCGCGCCCTCCCTGTAGCGGATGGTGACGAAGATCGGAGGCCCAGAGGTTATGTCGGGCGTGTCCCCCTACGGGGGGATTGCCGACGAAAAATTAAAGATACCCCCAACATAGTCCAACAAATAGTCCAAAAATAGTCGGGGGACTATTGTGGGGAGCATTTTTTTTGACAATTTTGGTGTATTTTGAGTATTTTTCCGTTTTTCGCCCCAAATCCCCCTGTAGGGGGACATGCCCGACTTAGTCCTGGAGGTTGGCACCAGCACCAATCTGTGCGGTGTGCTTCCCCCGTGGGGAGGTGATCCCGATCTCGGTGGTGGTGGTGTTCGTGCTCCCAGGCAGTCGAAATATTACTACCACCACGAGATCCAGAAGCGTCCTTCTCCGGCGGACGCACTCCCCTGTTTTGGTGTTGGTGCTTCTTTCCAAGCGTCCATCAAGAATTATTGGGCGTAGAGCGGTATAAAATCAACTTCTCCGTCGCCGGGGGCGCTGCCCCCAGGCGGCGGAAGAGTTTCTACCTTGACGTGCCACCGCAAGGGTATAAGATTTCCAGCCGCTCTAGGACGGGCGCCCCCCTGACAGCGAAACAGTTTATGTCATACCGTTTTTCTCCCGTTAAAAGTCAGGACTGGGAAAAACACACAGACACAATTAATCGTCGATTCCATCAAGAATATGGGAAGTGGGGGGGAAGACAACAACCCAGACATTATGGTAAAATATTGGGAATCCTGTGAGTTGTGTCTATCTATTTGCGTGTCCCAGGGCCCCTTCAAAAAGAAGGGCCCTTCGCGCAGATTGGCGACCGCTCTCTCGTCCAGCCGTCGTCGTCTGAGCGGCACCTCAGGGGCAACGATAGGGGGGGATGGGCACAGGGGGGGGGATGCATCGATCCACAATCGCCCATTGATCGCCGATAGGGGCCCGATAGCCCTAACCCGCCCAGGAAGGTGCGGATTCACCATCGGGGGCCTGTCGCCAATACATCGGCGATGTATCGCCGCTTCCATGTCGATGCATCCCCCCCCTATGCCAGTCCCCCTCTATCGTTGCCCCTCAGCACCGGGGGCAGCCGACCCATGGCGGCCGAAGAGGAAGGACCGCGCTCAAGCAGTGGCGAAGCATCCTGGCTCGCCTACAGGCCCACCAAAAAATGTGATGCAAACCTTCTATGGTCTGCGCGAACTTTGATTC